CGGGCGCCCGGGGCTGCGCGCGTGTGGGGTGCCCGAGGCGCGCGGCTGCGGGAGTCACCTGCGGGGACCTGGACGCGGGCGGGCGGAGGTGTGTGGTTCCGGCGCCTCCCGGCGCCGCGGAGCGTCCAATGGCTCCTGTTCCGGGTCCCCTTCCCTTCCCCCTCCGGGAAAGGGCCTGGCCGGGTCCCCTGGCACTCCAGCCTCGCCGGTGACCTGCACCTGGGGGGCTGCCCAGAGGTGCCGGGAGGAGGACTCCGAGGAGCCAGGGGCCGGGCAGAGCCGTCCCCACCTGCGTGGGCCTCGCCACGCTCCCCGGCTTGGGAGCTGCACCCGTTATCGCTAGGAGAAACCCAGCCGGGCAGCTGCCGCGGGCCCGGCGTCTCGATTCCCATGAGCCATCAATATTTATTGACCTTCTGCTGCCAGCCCTACATCCTCGTGCACCGGATACCTGCAGGGACTTGGAGAGAGTTTTCAGCTTGCCTGAAGCCGTAGGACTTGGGTTCCCCTAAGAACTCCTCATGCGTCTTAACTACAGCGTCTGTGTGTGTGGGAGGGAGGTTGCTTCCGAACTTGGAATTCTTCAGGCTCAAAACCGAGTATGTCTTCAAAGTTACCACCCGAGTCTGTATGTGGGAACCTGGTAAAACGAACCAGCCAACCCCTCTGTTTTCTGGTCGTTGAAAGTGTCCAGTGGTCAGACACTTTGGGAAAGGCCGAGCCGGGCCACTCGTAGGGACAAAGTTCCCTTTAAAATGTAAATGCTCTTGGCGCTGGAAGCGTTTGAAGGTGACTTGCAGGTTTTTCTGCTTTCCTCCCCCACCACAGCAGGAAGAAATCGTGCGGCTCCTAACCCACCCCACGGGGACGAATTTGGGGTGTAAAATAGCTTTGTTCTTCAAACCCCAGAGACATCAAACTTGTGTATTCTTCCCCGCTCACACATCTCTCTGTCTGGGTTAAATTTTGGACCCGGGGGCTCAGGCCGAGTGCTGTACTGCTGAACTACCTACCCCTCAGCCCTTTTCTTCTCGCTTTTCTGTGTGCAAACTGGAGACTTTGACGGTAGCTCATTTCGCTGTGCACTGAATTTATGTTGAACTCTGGAAAGAGGTTTTTGTAGTTACTGTGAATTTAACCGGGGTATAATCCTTTATCACATCGGTTTCTTTCAAAGGGGCTCCGGCTGTCCTGAAGTGTATATCTTGGCAAGGGAGGGCATGCTTTGTTGTCTTTCTTAAAACGTCTTAGCCGGTGTCTTGTAGAGGAAAGATTGTAGAGGCCGTTTGTGATGGAAACAGTGAAAAAAGTCAGCAGGTACCTCACATAAACCTTTAGTATTTCATTTCTTCCTCTTCCTCTTCTTCTTCTTCTTTTTTTGTGTGTGTGTGTGTGTGTGTGTGTGTGTGTGTGTAATCATGAGCATTAAACCCAGGGCCTCTGCACTGAGTTACATCTTAAGCCCTCTTTTAATTTTATTTTATTTTTGATTTTGAAATCAGGTCTCCATAAGCTGCTAGGTAGAGCCCAGGCTGAGCTGGAACTTGTGACCCTCCTGCCTCAGCCTCTCAGAGTGCTGGTATTACAGGCATGCACCGCCCTGCTCCACTCATATTTTTTTTATTTCTTTATGTTTTTGTCTTTTTGAGACAGGGTCTTGCTATGCAGTTCAGACTGGCCTTGAGCTCACTTTGTAGCACAGACTGGTCTTGAGCTCACAACAGTCCTCCTGCCTCAGCCTCCCAAGTGCTGGGATAACAGGCGTGCGCCACCATGCCGAGCTTTATATATTTTTTTTAAAAAACATACCTACTCCTTTGTACACATCTTCCTCAGACCACTTGTCTTTGTAGCAGGTGGGATAAGTTGTAAAACGTTATTTAACATGAAGTCTTACTTTTTGGCCCAGGGTAGTGTAAGACAGGCAAGAGGTCACTTTAACTCTGAGTTACTTGTTTAGAAGCTGAGGGAGGGTCTGTATGTAGAGCTCCTCCATCTTCTTATAGGTACCCCAAGTTCTACACTACCCCCCTACATTCTTAGTGTTCTCCTGTGCTTTCTAGATGTTGGAGGAGGGCTACTCAAATCCAGTGGGCCCTGCTTAATTTAGTTGTGTGTTCCAGTGTGACTGGGAGATTGGGATTTTGTTGCTTGGGTTTTTTTTTTTTTTTTGGTCTTTTTTGAGACAGGGTCTCACGGTGCAGTTCAGGCTGTCCTTGAGCTCACTTTGTAGCCTAGTCTGGTCTCGAACTCGCAAAGATCCTCCTGCCTCAGCCTCCCCAGTGCTAGGATTACAGGCGTGTGCCACCACGCCCGGCATGGGATTTTGTTGTTTAGGATGGAAGGGTACAGCCTGCGAGCAGTGTGGGCAGTTGTATTTCTTGGGCCTGGCTCTTGAATGGAGTATATCATCCCTGGTGCTTGCCTACAGCCTGACAGCTGGTAACTGTCTGTCCCGTGATTTAAAAAGGATGAAGGGAAATATGTCCATTTATGACCACTTAAAAAGTGGAACTAGGCCGTTGTGATGGATAAGGGGGAAAATTGTTCCACAGCCAGAATTGAATTAATTGAGGCTTTGAATCCTTTCTCAGTAGCTGCTGAAAAGTTCACTGGGGCTCATTAAATAATCATTCTTCTAATAGTTATTTTGCACTTAAAAAACTTTGTAATTAGATACATTATTAGAGCCCTCAAATACTGCAGGATTCTCTTTTTCTTCCTTTCTTTCTTTCTTTCTTTCTTTCGCATTTTCTGTTTAGCACACTCAGACTTGGCGGTAGATTGATCTGAAGGTAAAAGCACATGTTCAATGTGTGTGTCATTTGAAAGTCTCATGACAGTGCAAGTCACAGAACTTGCACGGTGGGGGCCCTCCCAGCTACTCAGGAGGCTGAGGCAGGAGGATCCAAAGCTTGAGAACACCCTGGGCAATTTAGCGACTTAATGAGACCCTGTATCAAAATAAAATCTTTTAGCCACACGTAGTGGTACCCGACTGTAATCCCAGCACCCGGGAGGCTGAGGCAGGAGGATCGTTGCAAGTTGGAGACCAGCCTGGCTGCAAAGTGAGCTCAAGGCCAACCTGAACTGCATAGCGAGACCCTGTCTCAAAAACAAAACAAAGCAAAATGAAATCTTTTAGAAATGGACTGGGGATGTAGCACAGTGGCAGAACACTCATGTAATATGAGTGTGGCTCTGGGTTCAATCCCCAGTCCAGCAAAAACAGAAACGAAACAAAAATTTGAAAGGGGTTGTGTGACAGTGTGCTTGCCTAGCATGTGTGAGGCCCTGGATTTCATCCCCAGCACCACAAAAGACAGACGAGAAGGTTTGTCAAGCATACGGCTGGTTCAGGCCTGGTGTGGGGCCACCTTCTGTAATCCCAGCAGTTTAGGCCAGCCTGGGCTGCACGGGGAGTTTGAGTACCCTGATGGCCCTCGTTAGATGAGAGCTTTTCAGCCTTGACACTGCTGACATTCTGGGCAAAATCATTCTGTGTTGTCCTGTGCTTATTTCACACCAGTGGC